AGGTCTTTCGATTGTATAAATATGTGCATTTTAATCACTTTTCATTGATTTAAATCCGGCTCTGCGACCACCAACTTCAACTAAGAAAAAAAAAACGGTTAAAATCGCCAAGCAGGGAAATTTAAGAAATTACTTTTCTATATACAATCCAGACTTTCAGAAAAACTTGGTTTCATCGATTCCCCCACCGACCACGGGGAATGTGTGATTAATCACAATACAACCTCAAATTTTATAATGAAAGACTTCCATCACTGAGGTTAACTTTAATATACAAAATGCTAGTGAAATGTGCATGTGAAATTACCATGTTTGCAATATTATATTGATAAATTCTTAAAAATTTTTAAGCCAACAAAACTTAAAAATTAAAAATAATGACATTCAATTTCTTTATCTTGATTGTTATTCTAAGTAAAATCATATTTATCTTACTGTTAAAATACGATATGGGGATCAATGAAAGTATGAAAACCACTTTGTTTAAATCATAAAATTTCATAAAGTAATTAACTATAAAAGTTTTTCTTCTCAAGAAGTTATTTAATTAGTTTTTAAAAGTTAATCAAAATATAAATTTTAGAAAAAAATCACTTTTATTAGCTCTAAAAAACACGGAGTTTGTTTTTTAAATATGATGTATGACTATCTTTGTAGAAAATTTAATTCCCTACAAAACTACATTCAGGTTTTTCTTTTATTTGTTACAATAAATTGTTTATAAAACAAAAAGTTGCGGAACAACATTTTCTTCATTGCAAATTTTTATTTTTGCGAACGTTAACTGAAAAATTAGGATAGAGGCTGAAATTTTGATATGGGACCGAAAGCAAAAAAAAACATTCGTTTTATTTGACACAGTCTAATGTACATATGTACATTCATCGTTGTATTTTCATATTGCACATACGCATGTGTGTATGTATGTATGTACATTATGAAGAATTTTTTTAGGTCTCACCCTCTCAATCGGTAATACCACTGTCACAGATATCACATACATATAAATTCTAGTCGAAAGGGGTCAAAGACTCTAAGGACTCAAAAAATTAAAAATATTTTTTTTTCATTTAATGCCCAAAATCGGTACTATTAAAATCGAGGATATCACATATAAATTTTAGTTCCGATTGGAGTCGGTTAAGACGTCTTCATAGGGTAATCTGAACTTTGACCCCTGTGGTAAACAACTTAACCGACTTCCATCCGGACCAAAATTTATATGTGATATGTTCGACTATAGTAGTATCGATTTTGGGTATCAGACGGAAAAAAATGTATTTAAATTTATTTAAATTTTTCTAGTCTCCAAAGAGGAATCTGAACTTTGCCCCCTGTACGGCACGCCTCAAAGGTCTCCAATCGGAACCAAATTTTTATGCGATATCTTCGTCTATAGTAGCATCTACGTAGGGGTTGAGGCTTAAAGCTCAGATAGGCAAGACTTATACTTGAATTGAATTCTGTATATCTGGAAAATTGTAAAGCTGGAAAAGGAGCAGCGCGTGAATGTAGTTACCCCAAAAAAAAACAACTTCACTTATAAACTTGGAGAACTATAGATTTTTGATTTCTAAGTTAAATTTCTAAGTGCAAAGAGAGCCGTGAGAGAATCATGCTGCCATTTCATTTTTTAATAAAACCCCTACAAATATGCCACACAAATATAATTTTTTGTATAAATGTAATTCCTCTGGCAATCGAAAAACAAACTTTCGAATAAAGACAGAAAATAAAATAAAAACAATCACAATTTGAAGCGCGTAAATACATTTTTTTACTGGTAATTTTGTATCCATTTTGGTATAAAAACAAATTAAACGTTTGCAATTTAGGTGTACAAATACAAGTGCTGATATTCAAAAGAAAAAGAAAAGGTAATAAGTGATACGCTGAGTAATCGTTTCTAAGTTTCTAGGTAAGAAAAGTCAAATCTAAGTCTTGCATAACCCAACTTTTAGGAAATCTGATGTAAAAATTTGCTACCTACATTTAAGGACCACCCTAATCGTCACCTTAAATGCAAAAAGACGTAACAAATATCATCGTTGAAATGCAAAAAGTCATATCTAATAAAAAAAAATCAATATTTACGTTTTGAGTTATATGATGGATTTCACCCTAATTAAAACTCCCCACATCATTTTATGAAAAATATAATAAAAATATTAGTGACGACTTTTTCCATTTCATTTACGATGTTGTTACGTCTTTTTGCAGTTCAGGTGACGATATGTACGCCTTATTCCTAAGGCACAGTGCACATTAGAGCGATACGATATGCGATAAGATACGCGATGCGATATGATATGGATGCGACATCGACATGCCGAGTACGTGGGAATTGGTAGGAAGCGATGAAAACTGTGCACACTTGCTCGACAGCGACACCGCTGCGGTATAATATCGCATGTGCGACACGGTTTTCTGAACGAGGTGAGATTAGCATTGCCCGTATTTTTCGCAATAAGCATGGCCGTTTTACAGGCGGAAGCATCTTCCTCCATTTTTTTAGTCGCATTAATTAAAAACAACCCCATGCTTATGGAACTATAAAAAAAAACTACTGTAGAACAGGCATGACTAGTTTGGCATGGAGAATTTTAGCGTCCGAGGTCAAGGACACAGGTAAGTACAATATAGTAGAATATTTTTTGTCATGGTTTATTTGCTTTTGTTTTCACGTAACACAAACGACAATAATGCAAAATGTGTTTCATTTCACTTTTAAATGGGAAATAATACCAAAATCTGAGTTTTGCTTAAAGCAGTGTTTGCATTGTTCAACTATGCGTTCAACATTTACGTTCAACTCAACGCAGGGTTTCACGAAAAAAAAGTTGAATGGCTAAATGTTGGCTGGCAACCAACTTTGCTGATGCGATTAGTTGAAACGCTGTTCAACCAAAAGTTGAATGCAAAGTTGAACAGTGCAAACACCTTTTTATGGCAAATATTTTGATATTTTTTCATATTTTGATATTTTTACCCATTCAACTTTTTTTCGTGCAACCCTGCGCTGAGTTGAACGCACATGTTGAACGCAAAGTTGAACAATGCAAACACACTTATATTTTCAACAAAGATTGGAAATAAAACAAATTTTGCCTTATTTCCCATTGCTTATTTAAACTATTTGTAACAAAAACAGTTTAATGACAGAAGGAAAAATAACTTTGTTTATTCCAAAAATACAATTAAAAGAAAAAAGTGATATAACTCATATGAAGAGAGTAATATTCACAAAATATTTTTACTTATGAAAAGTCTAACAAAACATAAGGAAAACGTCATCTTAAATAACTGCTCGGCAAATTGGACATAGCGCTTTTGTATGAATTTTNCAAAAACAGTTTAATGACAGAAGGAAAAATAACTTTGTTTATTCCAAAAATACAATTAAAAGAAAAAAGTGATATAACTCATATGAAGAGAGTAATATTCACAAAATATTTTTACTTATGAAAAGTCTAACAAAACATAAGGAAAACGTCATCTTAAATAACTGCTCGGCAAATTGGACATAGCGCTTTTGTATGAATTTTATCTGTATGCTTCTTAAGCTGGAAAGCCATAAAATATTTGCACGGAACCATGCCGCAATAAACTGGGGAAGTAATAAAATAAAAAAACAGCTTTCTCGCTTTATTTTCTGACATTCGGCTGCCTTGTAGTCAAATTTTAAAGGCAATTTTCAAATAAAGCAGTGTCAAAATCTCTCTTCTCACTCTAATATTACTTCACCTGGTATAATTCTACGATGGGTGGGTGCATGCAATAACACCATACGCAATAATTCTCGAACTGTGCTTTATGTTCCTCACATTAAACGGGTGCACCGAGTACTTTTTCATATTATTAGCTCTTTTTTTTCTTTGCTGTAGTCACCAATATGCCACAGCAATGTCTTCATCGGATGAACTCATGGTATTAACAGAAAGGCGTTTNATTTATGTTCCTCACATTAAACGGGTGCACCGAGTACTTTTTCATATTATTAGCTCTTTTTTTTCTTTGCTGTAGTCACCAATATGCTACAGCAATGTCTTCATCGGATGAACTCATGGTATTAACGGAAAGGCGTTTGTGTAGCTATCACACCGCAAATGGTATCGCGTGTCGCATCGCTCTAATGTGCACTGCTCGCATTTCATATCGCACCGCGTATCGTATCGCATATCGCATCGCTTATCGTATCGCTCTAATGTGCACCGTGCCTAATATCGCTTTTTTGGTTCGCTTCTTACCTTAACCGCTTCATCTAGAGAAACCGCTTTCCTATGCTTTGACCTAACAAGAGACTAAGAGATCAAGATGCCACCACCACCTCGTCGCAATCAGACCGGTCTCATCTGCTGGGAGAGTCAACACCAGCTACTTCACGCCTATGCCAACCACCAATGACCACTAAACAGCTAAACAGCAAATGCGGCCGCGCAGTAATAGCCGCAAGTGCTCATGTATGTAGTATGCGCCAGCCGCTAGCCGGTAACCGGTGCTACGGCAAGCTCCAAAACGAGCGCCAACACTTTTCGCTAAGTGTCTGGCGCGGACTCTTTCGAGTGGTAGTAGTGTCTCAATATACATTCCTATTAATGTCTACTTTTGTTGTTGTTGCTGATGCAATTGTGTTGGTGGTGGTAGTGTGCGTGCGAGCGTGCAAATTTTTCCACTATACATATGTACTTATTTTAAAATCAAAAAGAGCACATACTCAGATACATACATATACACACGTACATAAGTCACGATAGCGGGTGAGCAAGAATGGAGGGAATTGTAGTTGAACCAGGCTATTTGCGAACCGCATGCTAGTGCCTCAAATCCCGTCCCCAAGATGACCAGTTTCTTAGTTGATTACATTGACAATGCGGACGAAACGCTCTAAACGATCGATCGCACAGCGGGCGCGCGTGACATTGTATGCATGTAAGAATGAACATACATACATACATATGTATAGAACATACCTATAAACTACGATAATAATTTCCATTTACCTGCAGTGTATTGAATAAATAAATAAAAGACAGCCTTCCACAAAATTTGTCGTTGCCGCCGATGCACAGTTCTTTCAGTTGACGTTGCTGACGTTGTTGTCGTCTTTGTTATTATTATGACAACTATGTAATGCTGCTGTTGCTATTATCGTACCAGCTATTGTTTTTTTACGATAGTTAGTTATTATCTTTGTTAGGCTCGATTTAGTTGTTTAACGCAGACTCAGCTGTTGGTATCTACGGAAGTAATGGTGGTTATTTTCAATATTGATGAGGAAGGCGATAACCGGTCGATCGATGAAGGGCGATGTGGTGTTAGCGCTATGCACTAAGGCGAAAAGGCGTTCAGCTGTTTACAATGTATGCGACACTTTCTACGACAGTTTGCCTTACTTTACATTTGCCAAAGTATGCACTTACATGCTTGTATGTGATTGGGTGAAGGCAAGTATACGGTATGCAGGCGACCTAACCTCTCACACAAACATGTATTGATATGGATCTGTTTCAATACGGGAGTAATATGTGTACGCACTTATTTAGTATTGACTGGAAGATATGTAGGCAACAACTCGCGCAAATGCTGCTTCAACTTTTATCAGATTTTGTTTAGGGGTTTTTCACTACGACTACTATTTTAGAATTGTCTTTGTTTTTACTTTTGCAATTTTTTTGCTTCTTGCAGTCACAGCTCGTTTCGACTCACTAAATTTAAATACATTTCACTTTTTTCCGTCCGTTTAATTTTGCCTTTATGTGCGCTAAATGTGATTGTAATTCTATTTTCTTAAAACATGCTCGTGTATACGCAAGTATATATGCATATACATACATATGTATCTGCATATGTACATATGTGTGTATGTTTAAGTGTGCATTCCCAGCAATATTTAAAAGAATGGAACAAAAATGCAAACTGACGAATCAAGAAACGAATATTGAGTAATGCGTTGCGTGTACCACTGTTGCGCGATGCACTAGCTTCTTAGTATGTGTATAAAAGTGCACACCTCTTCCCGTACTGATTGTGGACGTATTAGTTAAGCCGTGGTGGCAAGAAGGCGAAAACTAAACACTAACTAATAATCGCAACTGTGGCCGATCAATTTTAAATAGACGATTGCCTATCATCCGGTGACGATGAGCCGCAACCGATTCCTCAGACTGCTTTCAGATAACTAAGGGAATTGAAATGTGCGCGGCTCACCGCTCTGGCTACTACAGATATGAGTGTGTAAGCGCACATCACACTAAGTAGCAGCATGGAGCGACAGTAAGCGGCCAAGCCATACCAACTTTTGTGGCTGCGCCAACAGCACAAAAAAGCGACAATAATACTCGCGTAAGCGCCAACAACCAACAATCAACAACCAGCAGTTGAAACCGAAACGCGGCGAAGCCAAAAGAGCAAAAAGCCCCAAAGTCAAAGCGGCAAAGTAAAAGTAGCGAAGCAACAGACTGACAGCAAGCAATGCTAGCTACTATTAGTATATATATGTATGTAAGAATGTATGTATGTACACATGTGGATACGTACACGTAGAATAGGACAAGTCAACAAGGGAGCAGCATGCACTAAATAAGTATGTATGTATATGCATATACGGCCAATACGAAGTGTGGGACACCAAGTGCTTGTATGTAGGCAGGCATAGATGAAACTGCAAAGAACCCGATCAGTATTTGAATTGTGCTCACAATCAGTTGAATTGAGCAGCGGCAAGTGTGTGCAAAGCTGTTCTCTAAACGCTGATGTGGTGAACTTTACCGATTATCGCAGAAAGACGAAGCACGCCGCGTCAAAGTACTCGCGTTCGATATTTCGGCTATGAATGGGAATGGTCATGGAATTATTATTGTTTTTATATTGGCTCTTTATAAAGTGGCGACATTGCCATTCCCATCTCCCATACCAATAACTATCCAAACAACATCACCGATATGAAAAAAGGGAAAACGCAAAGCACCACAAACGGCGGTAGAAGACGCAGTATATAAACACTAGCGCCACACCAGATCCCCAACCATAACCAATGACGCGAACACTTGTGTGTAGAGTTTCGTCACATTAACACATTGGGGCTTGATAATTGCTCGTACGGGTTACGCGCACACAAGCGTACTTGATATTGACAATACCCTGTGGGGAAAAACTCTAGTTGTGAATTGGTTTTGGCGCTTCGAGTACATTTAGACCCACTACTAGTTAGCGATAAATCTGTTTTGCATGCAAACTGGCGAATGTAACACGGTGATGTCGTAGGAATTGGAAATTGTCCTCCACTGCATTTCCTTTTCTATAGTTCAGAGCCAATTCTAAATTCGACAGATAGGATCTAATTCGCTTTGAATCCCGTTTTCTATAGTTCCGAACCAGTTATAAAATCGACAGACGAAAAAAGTAACTAGATGTTTTCAAACATTCATTTGGCTTTTTCCATGGTAGCGCTTTTTGTTTTCATTTGTTTGAACGAATCTATATCAAATTGGGCATTTGAAAACACGTTTAGATACCTATGGCTGTAGCTGAGTTTCCAGAAGTGTTTGCTACTATTGGTTAGATTCCAGAAGGTCGAAAAGAGTTAAAATGTTAACACAAATTTTAGTTTTGTATTACCAAACTATGAAAAAGCATCTGCGAAGTACAGATTTGAACCCACCAAGCAAAAATCTATTTAAAGTAAACAAGCCACCCGCTGCATCCCTTTTTCGGTAGTTCCATACTAGTTCAAAATTTGCCAAATGAGATCTAGTTCGTTCTGCATCCCTTTTTCAATAGTTTCGAACCAGTTCTAAATTCGTTCTTTTAGATATAAATTTCTAGAAATAAAATTGTTTTTAAAATTACCACGTCTCGCTGCTTATGAAGTGGTGGCGATCTAGTTACTATCGGGCTGGTTCGTTTTTGGCGATAAAGATCTAGTACGGAACTATAAATTTGGTTCACCAGTTCGGAGTTTGCCTACAGGGTATTGTCGTATTTGTATGTACATTTGTACACACATGTGCATATTATTACATATGTACATTCATACATGGGCGTAGCCAGGCAGGGGCAGGGGGGCCCGGGCCTTCCCCCCCCCTAACTTTCAAATTTTCGCCTAGATATTCAAAAATACTACCAANGCCTACAGGGTATTGTCGTATTTGTATGTACATTTGTACACACATGTGCATATTATTACATATGTACATTCATACATGGGCGTAGCCAGGCAGGGGCAGGGGGGCCCGGGCCTTCCCCCCCCCTAACTTTCAAATTTTCGCCTAGATATTCAAAAATACTACCAAGAAATGCTTGCTTGATAATTTCGGCCCCTCTAAATTTCAAGGTTTTTCCTATATATATACTGTATAACAAATTATACTCCCAACGCTAACTAAATAATTAGTAAATTGATTTGAAAAGTAGATATGTGGATCATCCGGTTCNAGAAATGCTTGCTTGATAATATCGGCCCCTCTAAATTTCAAGGTTTTTCCTATATATATACTGTATAACAAATTATACTCCCAACGCTAACTAAATAATTAGTAAATTGATTTGAAAAGTAGATATGTGGATCATCCGGTTCTGTATCAAGTTATTATCTCTAACTTCAAAGCACTTCCATTTTAAAAGGGTAAAAACCTGGCTGCAGTCGAAAATGAGCAAAAATTGATTGAACGGAAACTATAAATAAATTTATAGTTCAATTGTTTATTACTTTGTCTTTAGGTTTGTGTCTTTACTAAGCGGTTGGGTGAACAGCCAAGACGTTTACTTCTAAAGTGTGACAAAACAAAATCAAGTAATATATTTAGCATACATAAATATACCAGCCTAAAAAATCTGCGTACTCAAAATGTTCAATACGCCCTCATACTTATACATACATACATATGTATGTATATCATTTAACGTTTTGTCCGGCTATTTGGTTTATTATACAGGTATGTAGAGCGAATTTAAAAAAATTCATCAGGGTTTAGTTGAGATATTCGTTTTTGGCCACTATGTTTTGTACATTTCCCAGTACTGCAAAGCTTTTGACGGCCATTCACCTGGGAGTGGCCAGAAGTGATTCGTGTGCTTACGGTTCAAATCGCAGCTAACTACGTCCGGATATTTATATCCATGAATACTCTGGGTAGCGACCGAACGCTAGTTTGGGAGCGAGGTAAAGTGGGAGGGCGTAACACCCCGCGTGCGCTGGGGATTAATCGGGATGGTGCCTCTGCCCGGCTGGTTGAAGTCCTAGGGAAAATAAAGGCTGACATCAGCTCCATCCACGAAATGCGATGGACGGGGCGAGGAAGGTAAGCGTGAGCCTTGCGACGTCTACTACAGTTGCCACGTAAAGGAGTGCAATTCGGTGTTGGATTTGTGGTGGGAGAGAGACCGGCGTTCACTCTAGTGGACGAAAGTCTAGCCACAATCCGCATCAAAGCGAGATTCTTCAACATCTCATTCACATGTGCCAATGCCCCGATGGAAGAGAAGGACGAGGCATCCAAGGCTCTCTTAGCTTAGAGCGTACATATTAGCGCTGCCCCCGACACGTATAAAAATCGTGCTTGGCCATTTAAATGCCAAGGTGGGCAACGAAGGGATCTTTGGTGCCAGTGTCGAAAAAATCAGCCTCCACATAGAAACGGCGGGCTGAGGATGATCCACTTCGCCGGGGCCCGAAGCTTGGCAGTATGTATTACTGGGTTCTAGCATAAAAACATCCATCAAGCTATTCTCATTTTCGTTGTTGGTGTTTCCGACGGGGTAGGAGTGTGATGTATTGTGGAACGATTTTCCGTCGTCCCTTGTCAAATTTGGTTTGGAGACAAACCGGTTTCGGCGTTGTTCCATCTTCAGTGTCATTTTTCGTTCTCTCAAGCTACATGGATGTCTCCACATCGAAAAACGGGAAACCAAATCGAGCATGTTGTGATAGACGGAAGACATGCTTCCATGTTTTAGATGTACATACGTACACTCCGAGGGCCAAACATCGACTCGCACTACTATATTGATGCATCCAATATACGACCTAACCTCGGAGAAGCAAAAAAAGGGCCCCCAACAATGCAGGGAAAGTTCAACGTCGAAAAGCTGCAATCAAAACAGACGGCCAATGGATTCGGCGCTCGACCCTCACACCTGCTGTGAGAGAGCACTCTTCAACAAACCGACTTGCGCGAGCAGTGGAACCACATTTCCCGCTAATTACTGGTACGATCACGAGTGTGAGAAAATGCTTGAAATGCTGTCCGACAGAAAAAACACCCGAAATTTTTAGCAGAGAGTTGAGCGACTTACGGAAGGTTTCAAGACTCTTGTATGAACAACCATGGCGACCTAGTGACCGATGTCCAGAACGTACTCAGATTATGGAGGGAACACTTTTCGACCCTTTTGAATAGCGGAAGCACTTCGAGGTCCCAGTCGATGACGATGGAGTCGATATCCCAGCGCCTGACTATGAAGAAAAGTGCCAAAGCTGTTTGAGCTGACGGCCTGTCAGCTGAGCTATTTAATTACGATGGCAAGGAGGTAATAAGGTGCATGCCCGACGACTGGAATTCAAGTGCGCTCTGCCCAATCCACAAGAAAGGCGACCCCGCCATGCGTACCAACTACCGCGGGATCAGCCTTCTAAGCATAGGTTGCAAGGTCTTATCGAATGTATTGTCTACCATAGACCAGGTATTCACAGTACGCCGAATCTTGGAAAAGACCCGCGAGAAAATGATCCGCACTCACCACCTATTTGTCGACTTTAAAGCCGCTTTCGACAGTACTTAAAGGTATATGCCGCTATGTCTGTCATACGCCTGTGAAAAATGACGTTGAGTAATACCACCAGCTCTGCTCTGTTGCCTTTCGCCACCAGACGGGGTTTCAGACAGGGCGGCTCTCTTTCATGTGGTTTCTTTAATCTGATGTTGGAGAAGATAATAAGATCTTCAGAACTGAACCGCTTAGGAACAATTTACTACAAGAGCGTACAATTGCTGGCTTATGCCGATGACACTGACATCATCGGTAAGAAAAACCGCGAAGTCTGTCCTGACTTTTCCAAGTTGGACAAGGAAGCAAAGCGAATGGGTCTGGTGGTAAACGACGACAAGACGAAGTATCTCCTGTCATCAAACAAACAATCAGCACATTCGCGCCTGGCACCCACGTCACTTTTGACAGTTATAATTTCGAGGAAGTAGAGAATTTCGTTTACTTGGGAACCAGCATTAACACCGGTAATAATGTCAGC